AGAGTTTGATTTTGAAGGTATCAAGTAAGTTTTCTACTTGAAAAATGCAAATAGCACATTTATTGCTGTGATGTGTTAATAGCAGGGTGTTAAGGTGTTACTTCCACAGGCCAGGTGGCCAAATAGAAGTGCATGTTTCAGTAGATTTAGTAGATAAATAGAATGCAGTAGATAAATAGAATTTAGTAGATAAATTAGTAGATAAATTCAGTGCTCTCTGTGAACTTCAGTACAGTTACTGTAAAGGATCTTGGAATCCCAATAAACTGAGTTGGAAGGGACCCACAAGGATCATATTCAGCTCCTAAATGTGACTGGACAGGGCTGTTTGAAAGAGTGAACAGATGTCTAGTTCATCCTCTGTTAACATGTACTGGTTATATTAAGTGGTTAAAATGAAAAGAAAACACTTGTTTAGAAAATACCGGTAGGAAAGGCTGATTTTCCTTCCTTGGAACTGAGTTTTCATACGGAACTTTTGCCCAAGGGCAGTGATTCCTTATTTTTACTATTTAGTCATCCTAACCTGGGGATTTCTTCTCTTTGGTGACTCTTATACATCTTCTTCTCATTACCTGGTAAACGGTAACACTGCAATGCCAAAATTCCACTGTTTGGGGAGGTGGAGCTGTGACCGTGGGTGACTTACTCCTCTGACATCTTCAATTTAAGAGGCATTTAAATAACCCCCTTATCCAATGCTGAACATTTTTCTTCACCCCTCCTAAGAAGTCGGAGGAAAGCTGAGTTTTATGCCCCTTTATTGCCTCTAAACTTGTGTTTAAAATGAAACCACGGTAAATATTATCTGTACATTCCATTGCACAGCTGACACTGAAAAATCTCCACCGTTGTGGTGTGATGGGAAGGGTAGGAAAAGGCAAAACAGGAAGGGGAAAAGGGTCCTTCAATCAGCAGCTGAATTCCTTGGGGTGTTCCCCCTCACCCCATCACTGCTCATCCCTTTTCCTCCCCCTGTTCCCACCATGGTTGTGCTTTAGGAGGTGGAGGAGGCTCCTGGTAATTGGTTAATGAACTATTTTCAATTCAATTCCTGGCTGTACTTGGCATGGAAAATTAACAGTCCTTGGGTATAAATATGACCCCTACCCCTGGATTAATTTGATTATGTGAGAATCTCAGTTTTCATTTAAAAATAATAACTTTCTGGCTGCTCTGATAAAACAAGTTTGGATATGCAGACTAAATATTCCCTGATGGCTTAAAAAAAAATCAAAAGATGAATATGAAGAACATACGAATCTCTTATTAATAAAATTTAAACATCCTCAAATCTTTACTGTGATGGCTTGAGATTGAATAGTTTGATACCAGAAAATTCCTGATTTTTACTCATTGCTGGATCAGCATTCTCTGAAAGCCAAGTCTGTTTTAAGCAGCTTCATTTGGGTTCACAAATAGACAAATTATATTCATTAATGACTGTGGGTACCTTAACCTACAGTTTCTTTACATTTGTTCTGCTGCATTTGTAGCAGAACAATAAATCTGGTGAGAACTGAAGTCAGGCTGGTTTGAAAGGAAATGTTTTTTTTTGCAGAACTTTCTCATTGGAACACATTTCATTGTTAAATTTATCTGTTACAGGTGTGATGCCATTGACACACGTGGAACTGTGAGGATAAATGGAATGAATAACAATAAATTAAATTAATAGGTCTGGGCACTGGAACTCGATTGTCCACACTGAGAAATTGTTGGGAAGGGATCAAACATGATCTCAGCTGGGATAATTAACACTCAAATAGTTTCTGGACATGACTTGTCTCTTTTAATAGTTTGGTAATACAGATATGGCCTAATGTGGTGGGGGCAGCAGGGAGGGAGGGGATTCCCCACCTCCTCTTAGCCTCAGGAGATCCCACCTGCAGCTCTGGGGTTCCAGTATAGGAGGGACGTGGAGCTGCTGGAAAGAGTCCAGAGGAGGCCATGGAGATGCTCCCAGGGCTGGAACCCCTCTGCTCTGGAGCCAGGCTGGGAGACCTGGGGGGGTTCACCTGGAGAAGAGAAGGATCCAGGGAGACCTGAGAGCCCCTTCCAGAGCCTAAAGTGGCTCCAGGAGAGCTGGAGAGGGACTGGGGACAAGGAATGGAGGGACAGGACACAGGGAATGGCTTCCCACTGCCAGAGGGCAGGAACTGATGGGAGATTGGGAAGGAATTCTTCCCTCTGAGGATGGTGACATGCTGGGATGGAATTCCCAGAGAAGCTGTGGCTGCTCCATCCCTGGAATTGTTGAAGGCCAGGTTGGACGGGGCTTGGAGCACCCTGGGCTAGTGGAAGGTGTCCCTGCCTGTGGCAGGGGTTGGAATGGGATGATCTTTAAGGTCTCTTCCAACCCAAACCATTCCTTGATTCCACGATAATCCATGCATGGACAGAACTTTACTTGCAGTCAGTGAATCTTCAGCCAAGGGCAGTTGTAGGAGTGTGTTCAAAACCATCAAGCAAAAGACTGCAAAACCAGAGCGAAGCCAGAGAAATGCCTTAGCAATTTTTGCTTATCTCTCCACGGATTCTGCTGTGTCACAGATCCAGAGGATGTGGGAAGTATTACTTGTATTAAAACCCACAGAATTTAAGGAGCAGGAGCCAGGCACTGCACCTGTGTGAAGCAGACTTTGCCTGAGGTGAAGCTGAATGTCGAATCCTCCAGGACACGTGTTGCCTTCAGCTCACGCTGGTCGTGTCCAGCGGAGAGCAAAGGATGTCACAGATATTTCTCAGCCTTTGTTTGGGAAATTTGGGGGGAGTTTTGGCAGTTGAGGATGGAGCAGCATTTGGCAGCTTTGAGAGGAAGTCCCCCTGTGGTTCGGTTGTGAATTTGGATCCGTGGAAATTCTGACAGTTTGAAAATAATAGAACAGAAGGAAAAATCTCTTCCTGACCAACTGGCTGTTGAAACCTCCAGGGTCAAGAGGTAAAAAAATGACACAAAGACATCCCTGGAAGCGTCCAAGGCTAGGTTGGACTGCGCTTGGAGCAACCTGGGCTAGTGGAAGGTGTCCCTGCCCATGGCAGGGGGTGGAATGAGATGAGCTTTAAGGTCCCTCCCGATCCAAACCATTCTGGGATTCTCTAATCCGTGTCCTCCTAATACCAGTTTTCCAAGTGTCTGAATGCAGTTGTATTCCACTGATGGATAAACCTCTTAAATATGAACAGAATTTGGGGTGGGATGTGTTGCTTTCCCCAGTGGAAGGTGAAGGAAGATCAGTGTTCCCTGACACTCTCCGTGTCTCTGTAACACCAGGTTTTATCCTACTTACTGCAAGCCCTTATCTCTGGAATGATGATGGGCTTGGAAAAGTCATTTATTCTTTCTGTTACAAGGTACAGGGAAAGTCCTTTTCATTTTTATTTTTTTTTCTAATTCCATGCTGCCAATACACTTCTGATTTTCTGGGATTATTCAATCCAATTTGTAGGTGAGAATTAAAATGTTTTCACATGAAAAACTGTGGAGTAAAAAGCCCCAGACTGGGATTTCTCTGATTAGTGTCTTTGTTGAGAGTTTTTATTACTTATGTGTTGTTATTTATGTTCTTACTTTCTTCCTGGCGTTGAATGTATATTTTGTAAAAGTCCTTTTAAATTTGGGGGTTTTCTTTTACTATTTATTGCATCTAGGCAGGAAACACTGGAAAAACTGTAAACCAAAGTATGAATGACAAGAAAATTAATTATTTTATCTGGCAGAGATCTTTGCAGTGGAAGTGTGAAGGCATTGGAAGACAACTTAGGCACTCTGAAAATATTACTTTCATTCAAGCCCATCTCACCTCTAAAAGTTTAATTTTGATTTTAATATATTGAAAGCCTCTCCATTTGAAATGAAAACCGCTTCATACATCATCTGTGTCACTCACTCCTTAAATGAAAGCAGCTCTCAGGGCCGGGGCAGGGTTAGTTTTATTTGATCTTACAAGATGTCTCATAATTTTTCTGCCTGTTCACTCCTCTCAGGTGGCTGTAGATCATGTTGGGAGTTGAAACCTTGCTCGTGTGACTCCCACTCTGGAACCTCCCAGCAATTTGCTCCCTAAAGCCCCTCTCCTGTGTCTCAGAGCCTTCAATCTTCCTAAATGCGACCAACTGACTCGTGGCACCTCTTGCTCCGGTTGCAATAACTCTGATTTTCCCTCCTCGTTGAGTGTTGATGAATGTTCGATGCCAACTGGGATTAGGAATGTGCTTCCCTGATGTTGCTTTCAGAGAATTCCCAGAGAATTCTCCATTTGACCTGTTTTATTCTTTGCCAGGCTCAGGACTAAAGGAAGTAAAATAATGTGTGGAACGGAGAAAATATCTTGGTTTTCTCCCTGCAAAGTGTTTTGTGGGCAGAAATGTGTGTTTTGAGTTCAGGCAGTTTTGTTTCCTGCCACCCTTGTTGGTGATGAATCTTGGGAGATGGAGAACTGAATGGGGGGATGCCAGAGAAAAAGGGTTTAAACTGAAAGGGAGGAAGGTTTAAATTGGAGATTGGGGAGGAATTATTCCCTGTGAGGGTGATGAGGGGCTGGGATGGAATTCTCAGAGAAACTGTCCCTGCCCCATCCCTGGAAGTGTCCAAAGCCAGGTTGGATGGGGCTTGGATCAACCTGGGCTAGTGGAAGGTGTCCCTGCCCATGGCAGGGGGTTGGAACAAGATGATCTTGAAGGTCCTTCCATCCCAAACCATTCCATGATTCTTTTATTCTCTGATCATATAAACAAGCAAAGGAGAATTATGACTCCCTGTTTTTCCTCCTTGCATGAGGAGGCTCCTTTCAAGGGCAGGGATTGGTGCTCTGGAGGTTCCTGTCACATCAGGATCAGCTCATTTATCTCAACCACCGATCTGAAATTCATCCTCAGTCTCTCTCCTGGGTTTTTGGGACTTCAAGTTTCAACAGATCTAAAGAAATAAAGAGTTGTTTTTATGCAAATCATGTATTCTATTACATTTTAACTTCTTTTTTTTTTCCCCTCCCTTCCAGATAAACATCACGTCAATGGAAACAGAATGGTGGAACCTTTCCCAGAGGGAACACAGATGGCTCTGTTTGGTAAGACATCAGTTCTAAAACAAAAACTCTAAGCTTTGCAGTGTTCCTGAATTCCAAACTCCTTCATCTCAGCCCGAATTCTCCAAGTTTTAAAATCTGGGCTGCTCCTGCCGTATTTTGGGACTCTGTAACCTTGGGGGAAGAGCCTGAACTAGTTGGCTTTCTGATTCCACCTTACCAAGACAGGGATTTTCCCACCTCTTCTCCAGAAACATCTGTTAATCCTTTAATTGGGATTGCACAGGGGCAAGTCTCAAAGAGCAGGAGTTACTTAGGAATAATCCCTTTTATTGCCTCCTTCACTGGAGATATTCCAGAGCTGCCTGGATCCAATCCTGGACCATGAGCTCTTGGATGCTCCTGCTGGAGCAGGGAGGTGGGACCAGGCGACCCACTGTGCTCCCCTCCAACCTGACCCATTCTGTGATGGCTTAAAAAGACCTACAAAAGCGAAAAGATGACAACCAACCACATGATTGTGTAGCTACAGCCTATTTGCAGTGAATTTTCCTACTTCTTGGGCGGTTTTAGAGGCAACAATAAAATAACATGGCGTAAAATGTAATGCTGGGCTGTAAACACCGATCCTTTCACCTGCTGGAAACGCAGTGGGGTTGATTACACAGCTCCCTCTTCTGCAAAAGCCCCTCCAGATGCTCTTATTGATGCTGCATTATTTGTTTCAAGGTGTGACTTCTGGTTCTGATGGAGGTTACAGAGGGAATGTACCCTGGGCTTTGTTGCTGCAGCTGCAACAGAACCTCACAGGTCTCGAAAGACTCTTTAGATGATCTTGAGGCTCTCCTGTTGTTTGTTCAGCGTCACTCGTTGCTGGGGATGCATCTGTTGTTCTGCAGGATGAAGAGAGGTGTCCTTGTTCCTACAATGGAGAAAAAAGCCACTTTTGAGGGTGAGGGTGGTTCTTTAATGGAAATCTTTTAATGCTGCTTGTCCAGTGAGCTCTTAATCCAACTTCCAGCTGATTTTAAGGCATGAAGAGCACAGGGGGAGCACAGGCACCTCACTGGAGGCACTGGGGTGTTACATCAAAAATCAGTGTGTCCCTTGAGATCTATTCCCAAGTTCAGTGATGAGGTTGTGGACTCCCCACCTCTGGAAGTGTCCAAGGCCAGGTTGGACGGGGCTTGGAGCAACCTGGGGTAGTGGAAGGTGTCCCTGCCCATGGCAGGGAGTGAAAACAGATGATCATTGTCCTTCAAAGGGCCTTCATCCCAAACCATTCTATGATTCTGTGTTTCTGTGAAACTCAAGATGTGTTTGTGTTACAAGTGATAAAGTAGAAGCCATTCAATAAATGCCTGCCTAGGAAGTTTTCTTGTAGTTTTTATGCTTGTAGATATTTTGATTTAAAAATATTTTGCCTGTAGTGAGTGATTTTTACCTAACACCTGACCAAGACTCAAAATCTGAACTTATATAGTGGGGGTCAATAATGTTTTGAAAATAAGCGTTTGAGGGACTAAATTCAACTTTTGGACAGAGAGGTAAAAAAAATATAAATGCTTCAAAGCTGCAGAACAACTGCAGATTTCAATAAACTAGTACTTTCATCAGTACTAGAATTGTAATTCTTTGCAAATTTTAAACACATTTAAATGCTCTACTCTCTTATCATAAAACCAAGAATTGGTCTGGGTGGGAAAGGACCTTAAAGAACATCTCGTTCCAACCCCCTGCCATGGGCAGAGACACCGTCCACTATCCCAGGCTGGTGAATTTTAAGTGCTTCTTTTCCTGTTGCAAGACTCCAGTTAATCCCAACCCACCTCTATATTCACTGAGCTTTACATATCCCCTTGTTTCTCTACAGGGAAGCGTCTTGCATATGGTGCATTCATGGCAGGGCTTTTATTTACCTCCAGTCAAGTCTGGCAATAGTTCAGATTTGTAATTATAACACTTCTAAAATAAAGGACTAAATTGAGTTGTATTTGCTTGACATACAGTGGCTCGTAATGAGATAATTGGTTTCTTGACGTAAACAAAGTATAGACAAAAAGAGGATGTTCAGTAACTGATAAGATCTAATTATGGATGTTTTAGGGCTGGCAAACAGATCCAAGCTTGGCCACCTTCTGCTCCACATTCATGAGACAGCAGAACATTCCAGTAATTCCCCAGAGCTGGATTATTGTTGTGCTTTTCTGTGGCTGCCCCTGGATCCTTGGAAGTGTCCAAGGCCAGCCTGGACGGGGCTTGGAGCAATCTGGGATGGGGGAAGGTGTCCCTGCCCATGGCAGGGGGGTGGAACTGGATGATTTTTAAGGTCCCTCCCTCCCAAACCATTTTATTTCAATGATAAAGACTTGGTCAGGGCAACTTCACAACTAAAGGAAAAGAATTCCATTTGAAAAGGGGATGATGTGCTGAAGAATGGATAAATCTGGCAAAAAAGAGTTTCTTTTACTCACTGTTGAAACAGCTCCCGGTGGCCTTGGCAGATAAAAATGTGTGTTAGGAAGTCCTTTGGTCTGACTCAATTTTCAATTACTACTTTTCACCAAGAAAAGAAAATCACAGGAAACAAAGTTTGGCCACCAAGAGAAAACACCTTTTGTTTTTTTTTCAAGACAGTGAAAACAGAACAAACAATTTTTCTCTCTTGGTCAAAGGAAAAGAAGAAAACTTTAAATCAGAATACAGGTCAGCAGGTATTTTATCTCTGTCTGAAGAGAATGGAAGAGTTACTGATCTTGAAACAGGTGTTTGAGAAACATCTACAGAGACATCAGCAGATGATACAAGGATCATGTTGTGGAAAAACTGAGAGCTAGAGGAAGGGTTTTCCAGAAGAGGTCCATGTTTCTCACGCTAATTCTCTTTAAACACCTGGAAAGGTGAAGGAGGGGCACTAACTGGCTGGATTTGTAGAGCTCTGAAGCATTAATGGTGTCCTGTGTTCACCTGGTGGTGGAAAAATGGACACTGGATTTCTGTAGATCTGAATCGAGAGAATAAACCTTTAAAGGTAAAGCAGAACAAAAAGGAATGGCCTAAACAGAAGATGCTCTGTCCCTAAACCAAATCATGTTCCTACTCCTACCTTTCCAGGATGTTTATTAAAGAAATGCATCCTTAGTTCCCATTTTCTTTTTTTTCTGCCTTCCAGAACATGACTTTATCTTTTTGTTGCCTCTTCCAGAGACCTGAAACACAGCCCAGATCCCTGACCCTGCTGTTGGGTCCTGGTTCATCCTTATTTCCACCTCTGCCTAAACATGGGCTCACAGACTGGTTTGAGTGAGAAGGGACCTTAAAGGTCATCTCATTCCACCCCCTGCCATGGGCAGGGGCACCTTCCACTCTCCCAGGTGGCTCCAAGCTCTGTCCAACCTGTCCTTGGACACTTCCAGGGATGGGGGCAGCCACGACTACTCTGGGAATTCCATCCCAGCCTCTCCCCACCACAAAACCACAACACCACCCTCACAAAGAATTCCTTCCCAATCTCCCATCTATCCCTGTCCTCTGGCAGTGGAAAGTCGTTGCTACTTGTCCTGTCCCTCCATCCCTTGTCCCCAGTCCCTCTCCAGCTCTCCTGGAGCCCCTTTAGGCTCTGGAAGGGGCTCCAAGGTCTTCCTGGATCCTTCTCTTCTCCAGGTGAGCCCCCCCAGCTCTCCCAGCCTGGCTCCAGAGCAGAGGGGCTCCAGCCCTGGGAGCTTCTCCGTGGCCTCTTCTGGACTCTCTCCAGCAGCTCCACATCCTTGTGCTGTTGTTCCCCAGGGCTGGAGGCAGCTCTGCAGGTGGGGTCTCACCTGAGGGGGCAGAGGGGCAGAATCCCCCTCTCCATCCCAGCTGCCCACGCTGTGGGATGAGCCCAGACATGGGAGGTTTCTGGGCTGGGAGTGCCCATGGACAGAGCATGTCCAGCTTTCAGGTCCCCCAAATCCTTCTCCACTGATCCTCTCCTCCCTCACATCCTCGCCTGAAGTGCAATGCTCTGTTTGCTGGTCAGACCTTCAGGAGATTTTCAGTCTTAAGCCCCAGCCAGGGAAGGTTTTCTGTTTAAGATTTAAAAGTCTAAACAGGGATGCCTTGAACCAAAAATTGCCCCCTAAGCCTGTGGTAAAATAAGGTGATAAACACAAAAATGACCGCAGTTCTGGGACTTTTCGAGATTAAAATCCCCATATTAATTTTTTCTTTTCCTGTGGAATACCATGGACATTATGCATTAAATGCTGCTCTGATTTGATGGAATTGTGCCTCAGCTTTGTGGAGGTAAATGGGCAGTTACAGAGCTCTGTGGAGACAGACCCAGATAAAAACAAAGCGCTTGGTCTTACCAAGGACATTTCCTGACATTTATAAACACTAATAAGGGACAATAAAATGTCCCTAATGCAAAGTGAAAGCTGTCCTTGATCAGCACAACCCTTCAGAACATTCTCTTCTTTCAAAGGAGCCACATCTCCTTTTTCTTTCTGAAAACAAAAGTAATGTGGCCTTCAAACACAATCTCGGGGCTTCTCCATCAGGGAGTTTTTTTATGTTAATTTAGGTTTCTTGAGGTAAAGAAGAATTCAGCTTTGTGTGGGTTTTCACTTAGAGCGGATGGTGCACATTAGGGAAGATCTGGAGGTTTTTAAAAGTCAGGTTACAGCTTTTTAATCAGCATCATTCAGCTTAAAACAACCTTTTCACTATGTTTTCGGGACTTTTCCACTGAAATGAGTAGAAGAGACACAGATCATTTTCATGAGTTTGGGGACAGGGCTCGGTGATCTCCAACAGCAGGAACTGTCTTCAAGAAGAGTGTTATTTTTCTATCTATCTAATTATTAATTTTTAAAATTTAGGGGGGAGGTTTATTTACTTTATTTTATTTATTTATAGTTTATTTTCTGTGCCAAAAAGCCAGCAGAGCACCTGGATGACTTCAGCAATTGCAAAAGCCTTGCAGAGAAGTAATTCCCTGCCAGTGATAAACAGGAATACAGCAATGACTGGGATGAACATATGCTTGACATCATTGTGAG